CCTTAGTTTCAACCTTTGATACCGGGTCTAGCCGATACATGAAAGGTTAATTAGTAATGTACAGCATTAGTTTGTCAACATGCTCAATAAGATTACTTGCAGCAGCATCCCAGACAATTATCAAAACTTTCACAATGTTCCTCTATTAGCAGTTTCTCATCTGACTCCTCTCAAACTGTCAGATAAGTCATTCCAGCATATTACTTCTCGTCAGTTGAGTTAAAAGAATACAAAACAGTACTCTCAATCTCCTGACTCATCAGTCTCAGTCTTCTGGTCCAACTAGTGCATGAGACGTTAATTAGTAATGTACGGCATTAATTAGTCAACTAGCTCAGTGACATTACTTGGACCACGTAGCCATTACAGCTCGTAGTTTGATGAACCAACCAAGTTGCTTCTATGCCACTGCCATATACGAAAGTCACACTCAATCTCCATGTTTGAACATCCATTCCTTAACTGTTTTATTGTAACATCTCTTATGCTGTATGACAGCCTTTCCAACTGAGATGTCTAATCTCTAAAAATTCTGAACACTTACAGAGCAAATAGTTTAAGATTGAAAAAAAAAACAACTTTGAAATAACACCCCATGCCAAAATATGGAGTAACAGATTCAGAAAGTGAAGACTTTGGTTATGCAAAAAAATCTTTTAAAAAAGTCATTACCATGAAGCTAAGCATATCTTTTGGTATAAATGAGATAATAAACAAGGTTTTGAAGGCTCACAAGTCAAAACTTCACATACTTCCAGCCATACCTTGAAATCAATGGCTGTTTTTTTTTTTTTTCCATTAGAATGATGATGACCTAAGAAATTGGAATCACAGAAACCCCATAACTATCAACTTCTCCAATGCAGTTTGTGATGGATTTATTATATATTTATTTATTTTAATATCGATGTCTGTTTAAATTATACTGATATATGTACAAAACTCCCGCCTATTCTCTAAAGTTGTAAAAGATTCTTGAGTGTAAGAATCAACAATATATGTGTGCGCGTAAACGCTAGAGTTATGTAAACTGAAATTTCGAGAAACTCTCCACACGCCTATAAATATAACCAACGCGATACGCCAACAAACAGTATCTATTATTGATTTGCGATAAACTTCGAAAGCTATAACTGTGATTGTTATAACACTTATTAGTCGGAAAACTTAAGATATTTGACCAAGAACATTTATAAATTTCGAATATTACAAACCATTTAACTTCAGTGGATTCACAATCGGACATTAGTACTTTTACTAAATCATTACCCAACTTCATCGGTGGGAAAAAAAATCGGCGTGTGATCAGCGAAGACCACAGATCTAGCTAGCTCCCGAATAAAAGGGAATTGTACCTACGTCAACTCGAAATTAACTCGCTCATCGTGAACCCTTGATAATACACCAAGAAAGTTCCAGACTAGAAAGAAGACTCGATATTATTTGTAAGTTTGTAAAACTTTTGTATATAAATCATTGTGTGTAATAACTATTTGTAATAGCCGTTATTGTAAACTGTATTATTGTTTGTATATTAAAATATATTTGTATTAAAAACTGTGTGTATCAGTCTTGTTGGCAAGTATCATAAATTGGATACATATCGGCATTTATTTGATTAACTACCAAATCCAAAGTACAATTTAACTCAGTTTTAGCCTATTCGAAATTGTAATACGTAACAAGTTTCAATGGACGTTTGTGTGTACTTGATCTGCTAAGAAGTGGTTTTGAAAGCCTATGATCAACTACAGTGGAAAACTTGTCAAGATGTGTGGAATAAAAATTATTTGATCATCTTTTGCAGAAGCACTTTACAATAGAATTTGCAGTGTTGTGCAAAAAATGCAGAAACATGACCATCAATGGAACACAATAAATAAAATTTCTGAAATAGTTTCAAAAGCAGCAAAAACTGAACATTAATTCTTAAACTGTGGTTAATATTCACTTCGAAAGTCCTGAAGAAGGTTAAACACCTAAACATATATGTTTCACATCTGTGTTAAAAAAATTCATGTACTTAAGTTTGAATTTTTTTTTTTGCCAAACTGCAGACTTTTTTCTCATAATCTAAAAGTCAATATTATACAGTTTTACAGGGATATCCATGTTCATATCCTTGGAAAATGCCATGTAGTAGACTCAATATCACCTTTCTTTCTTTACCTCTGGCTAGTAAGGAAACAAGAGGATGAAGGAAAACACTATACTTGAGTTTCTATATTTAACAGATCAATGCAGGTTAACAATAACATTAAACTTATGGACAGCATAGTTCTTCAAACATCCAACATGAAATGTTAAAAATGAAATATAAATTAGGAGATTAAAAATCATTATTTAAATCCTGGAAACACACCTCATGGAGTGAACAATTATGTGGAACCTGGTCTGGCTGATAAAAATATACAGAGATGGTGACCCTCACAAAAAAAGAAAGTTTCTTAGGGACTGTTAGTAAGTTGCATATAACTTAGATTTCTTATTTTGAATGATTTGTATTTTCAACCTCTCCAGTGCTGCAGTAATCTGTAATGCTTCTTGTAACAACTGAAGGAATTGAGGAGTGAGAAAGATGATGAATATGTAGGCAGCCACAGCATCAAAGAAGATAAGATCTATGATAAGACAGGTGAAAGTGTAGCCTGAGAAACAGGTTAAAGAATTAAAAGAAAAACTTTACACAATGGCACATCAATAACCTTGACATAAAAGATACCAAGGTATGTGAAATGACATAAGTAGTTACTTCTGCTTTGACTTACTGGTATTATGTTTTAATTGTATATGGTAAGGCACAAAAGAAAGAAGTGTAGTCTGAAGAATAGATTACATAATTAAGAAAAACAACACTATATACAAAGCAACATTATAAACCACGAAAGAAAGAACATCACGTTAGATAAAATGCATAAGTAGTCACTTCTCAGTGAAATTTTGGAACATTTTAATTACAAATGTACAATATGTAATGTAACCTTTTCAGTATGAACATGCAAGAGTATTCCTTGTATGAAAGGATTAAAAATAACATTGCCATCATGATACATCGAAAGTTCATAAAAACTTTTAAAATAAATAAATATACACAAGTGAGAATACTGTCTCTGCTGACAAGGAAAGGATATATAAAACTGGAATTAAAGTACAATCCAGTAAATACATCTCCAAAAAAGTTGAGAAATACACATACAGAACAATCTAGAAATGATTATTCCTGGTACAACAGTGGTAATGGAAGGATAAAAATATTAAAGACATTTAAAGGACACAAACGAATTCAGTCAGGTAAATGGGTTTATAAAAAAAACTTCATATTAAAAAACCCACTATTTACTATAATAACAGTTATCTACTATTTGTTTTAAAGTATATTTTCAGGTTGTTTTGGGACAATAACAAAAAAACAACAATAATTATCCACAAAATTCTGTATAAAACAAATTTAATGAACTTATTCTTCTGACTATATTTTACAAAAACATTAATGCTTATTTACATATGAAAGCAGATTAAAAAATTATGAAAATAATTCATATTTTTAATATTTGATAATTAAAAGTATCTTTTATATAATCTTGGCTTCCAGAAATATGACTTTGTTCACTTTAGATGCAGGATATAAACACTGCCAGATGAAATTTCATTATAGTAATGACTATGTACACTTCTGAAGAACCATTTAATACTATAGTACTGAAAAAACTGAAGCTTATTGATCCTTCCATAATATTATTGAAGTCACCAACTTAGTTTCATTGTATACTTTACATGTATCACCTATATATATAATTTCATGTTTTTAATTACAATCCCAAATGAAGATGATTTGAAACCATTCAGTGTCAATGTAGTTTCTTCACAACACACCATCTTGATATGTAGTAAACAATAATATTTTCCTACTAATGGGAAAGTAATCTTAGACGTGTTCTCAGAATGTTTCCCAAAAAGCTATAATCCACATACACATCAAGTATTAAGAAAACTGGAAGAAACACTAAAACAAATTTTTGGAAGGAAAACGAAGTGTTTTTTTGTTGTTTTTTATAAAGGTCAATATCATACATACATAAACTAATTGAAAAACCTTGTTTACTTGGTACTTCATGGAAAGTAATAAAATTACAACTTTTTATAGGTATAATTAACTTCGTACTCAGTGATACACACTTCCAAATTTGCCACAACATAATATACTACAATATGTATAGAAGTTATTAACTATTTTTTTAACAAATTACTTATTTTTGTATTATTGTTACTACACTATTTTATTTGAACTTTCTAATATAGCAGCAACCATCAATACAGTAAATAACATTATTTTGTAGAATATTAACATTTACATTTTATCAGTAAGGAATGTTAATGATGTTTGATACCAAGTTAATTTATAACTTAAAACCTTCTCTTGGACTGTAAACAAACTTATTTACATAGACAATTTCCATAAAATACAATGGTGAGGTTACTTACTGATATTCAAAACTTAACTTAAAATAATTTACTGTAAGAAAATAAATAGGTGAAGTTTAAACACAAAAAAGATATTTTATAATTTTCAAAAGATAAAAAGGAAAACATTGTATTAGTCTACAGTTATTTTTTTTTTACACTACTTTCCAGTATTTCATCTGGTGGCTTTACAAGGAACAATCTACACATAATGTAAACAGTTAAGTCTAGTTAGGTTAAAAATTAGAATAACCACTCCATGTAGATACTGTTGATTGATCATGCACACAAGAGTAGTTTAACTTTACTTTGTTCTTTTTAAGGTTTAGAAGTTATGTTTATTTGTTTTGTTGAAATTTGTGCAAGCCTACTCAAGGGCTATCTCCACTAGTCATCCCTAATGTAGCAGTGATAGACTAAAGGTAAGGCTGATAGTTTATTAATGAAAATATAAAATAAAAACAGTAATATATTAGTATAAAAATGGCAGAAAATAAAAAATGTGATTCATAAAGGCCAACTTCTATTTCAATTTAATTCAGATTTAATATTTTTTATCCATAAAATTTCTTTATACTTCCTGTCTAGAAGATTTCGAGCAGTACTGAGGATTTGTACATTAAACCAATCTTCTGGTCCAGTTTATTGATTATGTTCTTTCTGGAAATGTTCTGCTCTCAGTGTTTACCATACAAATATCAATGCGTCAATGACCAAGGTTCAGCAAAAACCAAGAAAAAAAGAAGGTGGAAGCAGGCTATCACTTCATTTTAAACTAAATTGCTTATTACCATATTTTTCGGTGTACGAGACGCACTTTTTTACCCCAAAATTTGATGTCAAAATCTGCTTGCGTCCTATACACCGAA